GATAGATATCGTGGTTGTTAGTGGGGCTCCATCTTAAGATTGGCCACTTAGGAAGATGGAGGCAGAGAGGTGTGGTATTATGGGGAAGGAGCCTTGGATCAGATGTCGGACAAAGACATTAGTAAAGGATAGGAGGATGTGAGGGGTTAAGGCAATAAGATCAGACCCAGTCAGGACATACCAGATGTAGGCAGGCTAGGTGTTGAGATAGTATGGGGACATAGGGATACATACAACATAAATCAGGACATGGAATGTGTACAATGTTGCATCCTGGTTATCAGTTAGCCTTTATATTATCCCGTGTATTAGTCAGACTGGATGCACAGAACACTGGTAATAATCTTTACTGATGCTGAGCTACCTTTGTCCGATGGCCAGGTAAGATGACATATACAGGGGAGGTTAGTGGTACCTTGGAGCCCTGGAGCTATATATTGTTCATTAACAAAAATAACTGACTACAATGAACAGAAAAATAAATTAATTATATAACAATTACCCCTTCAATAACCTCAACATTATAATAACAAAAAAAAAGAAAAAAGTATAAATACATAGTAGAAATCAATATTTAGTATACCATCCATTTGCCGTAATAATTGCTTTCATCCTATTCCCTATTGAACCAGCTAGAGAACCAAAAACCTTTGGGTCAAGAAGTTTCCAACAACCAGTAATAGCCTCCTCAATAGCTTTTTTGACCTCATTGTCAGAGCTCTTCATGAGATATAGGTTAGGATAATGCTTCTGAAGCTTATCTTTCACCAGAGCTCAAACATGTTCAATTAGATGAAGATCTGGTAAATAGGCTGGAATTTCCATAAGAGTTATTCCCTGCCCTCTGAGCTATCTCCTAAAAGGTAAATGAGTCTTAGCATTATCAATGATAAAGAAAACCTCTTCTCCCTCAAGATACTCCTTAATATCCTCCTATATCCCTACAAAGTCATATTTATCATAAACCTCCATAATTGGCTTTCCAGTTAATCTTTCTCCAATAGAAGAAGGATCAGGAAAAACAGGCACAAAGAGACCATGAGTTTGACCATAAAAATAATCAGTTATCATCTGGCCAATCTTCCTCTCCCCTGTCCTAGCAGTAGGTTCTATACAATCCTTATTCCACTTCTCTTTTGAGTACCTAGATACCTATTTTCTCCTCTTTCCTCCCCTCCTCTGACCAGCAACCTCATCTCCCCACATTACCTTCCTCCTCCACATTTCTCTTGTCCAGTGCCTATGGGCTAATGTACATTCTGATCCGGCCTGAGCTAGATCCTCATCCAAGTGAAACCTCTCTTGTGCTAACTACTTTTTAAGATGCCTTTGTGTAAGTCTTCTCCTGACTGTCATAGAAGAAACTTTAGGAGCCACCTGTTAGGCATTCTCAAAATAGGCAGTATTGCAATTTTCAAGTGCTTTCTCCAGCATAACATTATCATGTAACTTGGTAGTCTTAGGACGGCTTCCTCTACCCTTCCTCTCCTTGCCCTCCAATTCTTTCTTTGAAATTGTATTTTTGAAAGTTGTGAGGTAGATGTTGAGATAGTGAGAAATCTGCTGATATCCCCTCTGAGGCGTGTGTAACCCAAGAATTCTCTCCTTGGTAAACTCAGAAAGGTGATGGGTTGGAATAGGCTTTTTTAGGTGACTGTGAAGAATAGGAGTCATAGTATTTAAAAGAAAAAGAATCAGATAATATGACTGGGTTTTGGTTAAGTTGATGCAATTTCTTTTGATAGGGTTGAAAATGGGAGGAGGTGATGGACAATGGATGCTGTGCACATTGGGTGGTCGGTTATTTTTGTTAACGAACAATAGCTAGGATAACTGGATTTATTTCCATATGTATATAACAGCTAGGCACGGTGGAGATGGGGCAGGTTTCTTTGTCGGTTACTTTTTCTTATGCACAGTCGTGTTCGTAAAGTCTTCATACCCCAGCGCGGCAATGGTGTTGTCCTCCATCCCCACAACAACCACCTCTACCATGACCTTCCCACATACCCAAAGAGCTGGAGAAGATCAAAATAAGGAAATTTATGCCCTGTAAAAACATACTGATATGGGGTATAATAAAATTTCTAAGGTTATGGGTATCTCTATGGCAACTGTTCAATCAGTAGTCAAAAGAGCTGAATCAAGAGATGGAAATACCCATGATGCCCTCAGATCTGAAAGACCAACAACAATTACCCCTCAAAAAAAAAAGATAGTGGAGTCCATTATCAATGTCGAGCCTCATTTAGCATTACGCGACATTACCAAAAAAGCGAATATTGGTCTGGGAAAGACATCTGTGGATAAGATCATATTAGAAGCTAGTTTTAAGCTTCTGATACCTAGAAAAAAACCTTTTTAGAGGAAAGGACAGAAGGAGAAGAGAAAGGAGTTTGCTAGGAGAAGGAGGAATTAGAGGGGTACATGGAATTGGGTTGTTTTTGTGGATGAAGCCACCATTATCTATGATCCAAATCCTACTGGCAGGAAGGTCAGAGTTAGACCTGGTGAAGAGCTGGAAGAAAAAAACTTGAAGCCTAGCTTTAAGTCTGAGAGGACTAGTATTGGGGTCTATACTGCAATCATGAAGGGTGGCAGGACTGAGTTAATTCTTGTGAGAAAGAGGGGGGAGGATGAAAGGACCAGCAAAAGAGACAGACTTAGCCTCAATTCCCACCAATATGCAACTGAAATCCACCAGCCATATCTCATCCCTTTTATAGAAGGTCTGGATAGACCTTCTGACAACATCTACCTAGCAGCAGACAATGCCTCCTGGCATGGTGGTGAGGAAAACAGAAAATTGCAGTCAGACTGTGGTTATCAAAAATTGCCTTGGCCACCCAACTCACCAGATCTCAATCCTATTGAGAACACTTGGGCTCTGCTCAAAAGAGCCCTCAGAAATCGATTCTCCAGGTTGGATAGGAGGCCTCACAGTGCTGCTGAATTATTTCAGGCAGCAAAGGAGGAATGGGATTTAATTTCCCAAGAGAAGTTGGATGGGTGGATAGATAGGATGCCTGAGAGAATACAGGCTGTACTAGATACAGATGGTGGTCATACAAAGTGGTAATAATATTTTCTTAAGGCTTATTAGTTCTATTCATATCCTTTTCTTAATTGAGTTGTTTGAATTTTTTTTCAATTTTCCATGGAGAGGTGTTGTGGTTGTGTGGTTGCGCCGCCGGGGTATGAAGACTTTACGGACACGACTGTACATGACTGCTGGGCTCGGAGGAGATGTGGCAGGTTTCTTTCCTGGTTATCTTTTCTAATCTACACCACTATTGTGCATGGAGGTGACAGGATAGGTTTCATTTGTAGGAGGATCTCCTTTTTACACTGGCATGAGCAACAAGCATAGTGTGCAGAGTTGTGTTTCTTTTGTGACAGATAAGAATTTTGTTCAGGGGAGGTGGCATATAGAAGGGGGAGTCCCCCCTTGTTCACAGGCCGGGGCTGCTGGGTAAGGGAGTAGGATTTCTTTTGAACATGTGGCCGTCGGCTGGGGGGAGTATCTCATGTTGGTTAGCTAGATACCATTTAGTTTGTAAAACGGGCCGCGCCCCGGCTTAGTAGAATGGAATAAGGTTTTAGTACTGGCACTCAAGCATGAGACTCAATCTAGTCTACTATTCGTGCATCCAGAACCTACGATACTCTAAGCGCTCCGTTACCAACCGCCCCTTGAGAATGAATCCTACCGTGGAAGACAACCACTACCCACCTACTTCGAGTAGAAACCGACAGAACCTGTTAATACCATTGCAATGATTTGCCAACCCCCTTCCGCCCCGCAATTCCCACATGACGTATTTCCTCTTTTCGAACCCGCATCACATTGCAACTTGCACACCCATCCATTCACACAGGCCCCCCATCTGGCGCTCTGCAGGAAGAAGCAGCAGCGGACAGTGCCAAAGGTTCCCCATATCTCCATATATAACAGCTAACCCACCCATCCGATTCCCTTTCTTTTCCTTCCAATCACCCAAATTCTGAGATCCACCGGACTATCGTTTGAACCCCTGACACTGGAATATATATTACTTTTCAAGTATCCCTTCACGCACGGGCGCCCAAAAACAAAGCGAACATACTAGAAGTGCAGAGTAGCAAATCAACGATGTCGCAGAACGACAAGGACCCCCCGAACGCGGACTACAACACCCAAGCCGATGGGTTCAAGTTCGTCCACGAGGGCTTGTCTATTGTCACGCCCGGGCAGGCAAAAACGCAAGATACGGTCACCGTACCATCGAGCGCTGAGAACGCAGCCGGCAGGGAGATTAAAGAACAGGTCCCGAGAAAGAAAAGATTGGTGGGTTTACCCTTCTCCCTCTACTTCCTACATTCTCGTAGTTGAACGTTGAACCAACGATGCTATTTTCGTTTTTAGAGCTTCGGTGGCGGTAACGATGGCCGTGGGAGTCCAATGTTCGCCAGTCTCGAGAGTGCCCGGGCAAAACGTATGGCAGATGGGTACGATGACCAGAAGCCTCCGGATGGCTTTCTCGGTGCTACTTTCAAGAGGTTTATCAGCGCTAGGCCCGGGAACACTCTTTCTGGTGGCAAATAATCTCTTCACGATGGCTTTTTCATGCCGTGTTCTCTCTCTCTCTCTCTCTTCTCCTTCTCCTTCTTCTACTTCTTTACTCCATGAGTTGGAACACTTATGATTGTGAATGTTATTGTTGTTGGTGTTTCGTTTTTTACTGGTTTATCTGCCTCTCTGCCTATACTAGGCACCATCAAGAATGTCACGAATTCAGATCTTGATTTTGATTTTGATTTCTTCCCTCCGCCCCAAGTAGTTGTATAAAATAAATTGAGCCGAACGCAGACCCCGGTTCCTGATTGCATGAGTCTTCCGTACTTGACGGTTGCAGATGATCCACGGTAAATTTCATACGGTATTAGTGGCTAGATGATCTTACCAGCACTGTATCGTATCTATAGCCTTAGGATTGCTCCATGGATTGATAAGACATAATACAGCTTCTGGACCATTTACTAAAGGATGGTGGCATACTCTTTATGATACCTATTACTATATGTCAATCCAGTTACTAGGGTATATCATGAATTCATGGTATGGAGCAGAGGTAGTATCAGGTGATTTTGGGCAGCACTTTGGTACTGCAACCAAAGCAACATTACAAGAGATTGTACAAGCCCCTTAACAAATTTTTATATCAATCAACAGTTCCTAGAATGTATAAAATGCAATTAGGATTAAAGGAATTACTTACCATACTACTACCAGCTTTCAGAAGTACTTGATGGATGGAAGCCCATGTGATAGTATACAGATTGGGCAATGGCACCACAGGTCTGTTGCGTGCCATACATCATGGGACGACTAGGGTGCTGGAGATTCAAGAGCACAATGTTGAGAGTGACTAGTTTGGGCACACACACTGGACATAATGCGTACCAGTCACTGGGTTTTCATATTGTGTGGGTTTTCCTGCTTTTACCGATTGTATGTACTAGCTACATGTATATAAAGCTGAGAGCTTCCCAGTAGCTATCACTGATGGTAATAATCGTTGTTGTCATTTAGCATTCATATCACACATTCAATTTCTATGACACATTCATGCTTTGTTCTTGGTATTAACAATTCCACGCACACTACAGGTATAGTCATTGTTCTACCTATGATTGATCTATCACCTCTTGAGAGTGTTGCCATCAGGTTATTAGGCCAGCTTTACATTAAGCCAAACTGGAACAGCAGATGTTCTCCGCAAAGAGGAGAATTTTTTTTTCAAAAGCCTTCACCCCACAAAGACCAACATTGTGCAGTACAATATGAGCGAATATGATGGTACGCCATCAGTCGGACTGAGTTTCCAAAGCTAAGCGAGACTTATCATCGCATCTGGAAAATGCAGATGATAGATCTCCTACAACAGGAGAAACTCTGGAATCCAACGATAGATGAGGAAGAGATTGTGATGAAGCTGGAGACTGCCAAGGCAGTAGGCTACCAGAAGGAACTGGAATAATACCAGGTACAATAGAGAAGAATCCAGAAAGCGCTTGCGACTCTCCGATTGGAAATGACAGACATGATTGCCATTAAGTACTACTACTTGGTCTTCCTGACTCCTACCAGCATATGGAATGATATCATTGGGAAATACGAGACTTCAGTTGGCTATAACACCAATTATCTGGAGAAAGAGCTTTACGAATGCAGGCTGGAGCAGTCAAGAACAGTTCTGAGATACCTCAACCTGATCAGCGAGCTCAGTAACACGGGCGGAATCTATGGTCAAATGGTAATAAACGAGCAGTTGATTTTTCACGTTTTTGAGGAGCTACCAATGACACCCAAGTGGAAGACCTAAAACATGATTACGAAGGGCGGATTACCACCAGGCTCTAACATGACCTCGTCTATGGCAAGATACATACAACTGAGATTTATGCTCCTGGCATATGAGGCCGAGTTGTACAGCAAAATAGTAATGGACCCAGACCAGGTGCTGAATACGAAGTCTGCAACGAAGACTAGTGATAAGTCAGGAAAGCCATCTTGTCAATGGAAGGGTGGGACCAAGATTGGGAGACAACATTCTGAGGGTGGAAAGTGCGCGGTGACATGTCACCATTGCAAGAAGCAGAAATATAATGTTAGTAAGTGTCAGACTAAGGCGCAGGACGAGTCGCAGTGAAGACCCTTGTCGAGCACACATCTGTCTGACAGAGTTGGCATTATGAGAGACCAGACCTGGCTGGTAACTGAAAATACCTGATGCAAGAGGACGATTGATAACACTTTCATTAGTAAAGAAGAACTCCATGAACATGACTAGTTAATCAACTTAGGATCCATGAATCATATGATGAAGCAAGTAGGAGTCTTTGTTCCAAGAACCTACAAGAGTTTGAAGATGAGCGAGCGTCAGATGTGAACTGCGACTGGACAGCTGGTCTCTGCCACTGAGATAGGAACAATTTGAATATGAGTTTGGTCACCTCATGATGGACCCAAGACACCTTTACTAGCAGATGTGCTCCATATACCTGAGGCTAGACCAACGAACTTGATTTCAGTCAGTCAGCTGATGAACAAGGGAATGCACATCTCATTCCGGATGAAGACAGCCGAAATTTACAAGAACGGAGTCTTAACTGCCATTGCAAGAAAGGTCGACCATCTATACAAGCTATTGACCGATGAAAATGAGATGGGGATAGGTGCAACACTGATAGTGAGAAACCTAATGGCCACAGTTCTATGGCATAATAGGTTAGGTTATATACACAATCAGGCTATTTTGAAGATAAGCAGCAATGAGTTTGTATGTGGTTTGCCAATCTTGAGATCGACTACAATGAACCAGTATGACCCATGCCTCAAGGGTAAGATAATATCGACCCTGTTCAAAACTGCCGTGTAATGGACAATGGCACTACGGGAACCTTTCCACTCAGACCTATGTGGACTTATGAGACAGAAGTCATTCAGAGGATGTTCATACTTTATGTTACTGATCGATGATTATACAAAGTTTACAGCAGACTACGTTCTGAAGAAGAGGAGTAAGGTTGCCAGATATTTCAAGACATATAAGACGCACGTTGAGAGATTTCACCATGGCAATAGAGATGTTATGATCAAGGCAGTGAGGACTGACAGTAGTGGCGAATACACTGAAGATAGTTCCCAGAAAGAATTAACCTGTTGTGGGATCGAATTTCATGGAACCATACCACATACGTTCCAGAAAGGTAGCATATCGGAGAATGGCAATCAGGGCCGGGCCAGAAGTGCAATTGCACTGATATAGTATGCAGGTACACAGATGATGTACTGGGCTAAAGCAGTCTCGACTGTAGTCTACTTGAAGAAGATGTTTATCATGAAGGGGACGCATGGCAAGAACACCACCTCCTACCAACTCTGGTTTGGAAGGAAACTGGACATGCAGCATTTAAGAGTCTGGGAATGTACTGCGTACACACACATTCACCCAGTGAGGAGAATGGATAAGAGGTGGAGCCAAAGATCGGAATGCCTAATATTTTTAAGATATACACAGACTGCAAGACTTTGCTAGCTCTATGATCCAAGAACGAAGAGACTTATAATGTCATGGAATGTCATGTTCCACAAGGATTGTTCCTATCACGGAGCGGGTCAATGGTGGACTAGGATCTAAATGCATTCCATTGTCCATGTTACGACAATGATCAGGTATGACATAGACAATCATTCACGGTTGAATAATGATGATCTACAAGTCAAGACCCGTAATGACAGATGATCCATTGAGAATGAAGGAGATCTCGACTCTGAACAAGAAATCTTGAAGGTGAGACTGAGAAGACTCCCTCGCATGCCAATGGGCAGTGCTGAAGGTAGAAGTGAATACTTGATTGCAGAAGTGAAGTTCAAAGTTAGAACCTACTGGAGCAAACTTGAGAAACAGGCCAGTGGTCAGAAGAGAAGGTCCAGCGGATTGATTGAGCAAAGCCATCAGGCTTTAAGCATTGAGATAGCTCTAATGGTCATTGATGGACCGAGAACAATCATGGATGCCATGGACGGACCCAACAGAAACGAGTGGGTCAAAGCCATCAATAGCTAATTGACATCACTAGAAATTCACCAGATGTGGGATGTTATCAACAAGGCACGGGCTGTGAAGGATGCAAGAGTTATATCATCGATGATAGTACTGCAAGAGAAGATAGGTGAAGACAGCAAGGTCGACAGCTTCAAGGCTTGACTTGTTGCAAATGGATTCTGCCAATGAGAGTAGATCAATTACTCAGAGATATACAGTCTGACAATTTGATTCTCAGCCATCTGGATAGTCTTTCCCAGGCTGCTGTAGAGGAGAAGGAGATAGCTCCATGGGATATCATCTGTGTCTTCCTCGAAAGCAAGGTTGAGGATGAACTTTACCAACGTCTGCTGAAGGAGTTTGCTGTGTCGGATTCTGGAGTATTCAAACTACTGAATGATAAAACAAAATAGCAGGACGAGGCTAATGTCACCATCCAGTTGAACCGCAGTCAGTACGGGTTAAAGCAGGCGGGCCGGAACTGGTATAATACTTTGAGTACAAACTTTACGTATGAGAGAAAGATAAATGCATCTAAATATGAAGCTGGTGTATACACCACCGAGTCTGGAGCCACAATTATCGTATAGGTCAATGATATACTCCTGATTGAAACCTAGACGGAGTTTACATATATGCAAGCCGCAATACAGAAGCCCTTTATGATTAAAGATCAGGGAAACGTTAAGGTTTTCCTAAGTATGTAGGTGGAACGAAAACATGAGAAGAAGGTTATACATCAGTATCAGAGAGCATACTTGGAGAAATTCCCAACAAGGTTTCATACAGATGCATGCTGAGGATGTGCGACACTTATAGACATTAAGACCAAGCTACAGGCAAGAAGCGAAGAGGAAGACCCAGCTGGGAAGGTACTATACCAAGAGGCCATCAGAAGTTGTACCCATGCAGCGATCACTACATGCCCCAATATAGCGTATGCTACTAGACTTGTAGGACCCTTCAGCTTGGACCCTTCGGCACTACACTGGGATGCTGTCAAGAGGATCCTGCAATACTTGAAAGAGGCCCTAGGGCTACACATATGCCTGGGGGAGTCCAATGATGGAGGACTGTGGAGGGGAAAATGGGAATGCACCTATTACTGTTTATGTAGATGCAGACTCCGCTGGAGAGGTTGATGGTATGAGGTCGACAACTGGGTTTATCGTACGAGACCAGTACTACACCATCATTTATTGGAAATCTCAATGTCAGAAGACTGTTGCGAAGTCTAGTGTAGATGTGGAATATAATGCTACAGTCCTCACAGAC